GTCTTCGTCGTTCTGACCATCTATGTGAAACAGCGAGTAGCCTTGCTCCTTCGTATATTGGTCGCACTGAGGCCGAATGGGAGGTCATTAATCACGACTTAGAGATTACCTCAATGTGACACCGAGATGTGTTCCGAATACTCGTCAAGTTGGCTCCGCCTCGGCCGATAATTTGAGCCACACAGTGCTGAGGAACCTTCAGCGTGTGGCGGAACGGCCCAGCCTCAGCTCCCCAGCGATGATGGTCGAGCGGCCTGTCCGGAGCAGCAGGGCCGAAAGGAATCGCCGAGATGGAAGAACCGATCGGAGGTGCACCTAGGGGCAGTGGGGGTGTCGCCGTGAGCTGGAGCAGCGACTACTAGAATTACCATTGATGCCCGGAGCGGTCTCGCCAGCAGATCGTTTCATCTCAATAGCATTCCGCGTTACCTCCGCCTCATTTCCAGTTTCCTGTGGTTGTTCTCCTTCATCCGCTGCCTTCTTGGTGGGGGGTTCTTCATTGGAAGAATCCGCCCCTACATCACCTTCCTCCTCACGAGGCCTCTTTTCGCCACCAGAGATGCTCTCGAGTGCTGCCGGTAGCTCCTCGGCTGAGTTCGAACTCTCGACAACGGAGACCTGCAACACAACTCAGCATACCGTTAGCAACGACGAGCCAAGGTACTCTAGTATTACTTGCGGGTCCCGGTCGGTTTCGTCTTCTAGTAGAGCAACAGCAGCAGCAGCAGCAACGCAAGACGTAGCTGTCACTGGATCGGCTGCAGTCAACCCAGAAGCCGACATGAAAAAACTCCCTGATGCAGAAATCCTATCTCATCTTGAGCACAATATCGGGCGCGCGCGTTTTCAAGAAGTATCGCGTACGCCCGAATCTATTCGGGATGTTCAGCCAACTGACCCTAGTTGAGCTTGCTCCACTTGTGCTCCGGAAGGCTCCGCTGATACTATCTCCTCGAATTGATTTGTGATCCTAGTGACTATGTGGCGACTGTGCGATCTGTGCGAAATGCTTCTACCATACAAATGCGATTTATGCTTGACTGGCGACGATTTGCTGCTGGTGACTCGAGGGAGGCATGGTGTTGCAGTCACTTATGACTGGTTAATCTGAGATGACTTGGCTGTGTGGTGATAGTGATCATCTCCCTGTGAACGTCCATTTAGGCGATTTCCCGACTGGATGGTACACTGATTGTTACAGCATAGTGTTGTTTTTGTCAACGGAACCTTCCCGAGAAACTCGATAATGGCTGACGAAGCACCGAGCACCGTGGTGAACAGAGGGCTCGACTCCCTTGTTAAGGACCCCCGAGCCACTCAAGACTTCAGCGCCGAGGCCGACACTGCTATTACAACCAGCCGTGATATGGTCAAGGTACGACGAGTTTCGACGCTGGTCGGGACTTTGATGCTCTTCACAGGCTGGGCGAATTGATGAGGCTTTGGACGCTCTAGCAGTGTTGGAGAAGAAGGCTCGGCAATCCAGCGACGCGGCAACTTGCAGTCGCCTCATAGTGGAGATGGCTACTATCATGTAATCCCAAAGTGGCGACCGGGACTGCACTGAGATCGGGAGCAGATACAATGCGAAGCAATTCGATAGACTGTTGGAGATGATTCACGTCATGACGAAGAAGCGAGGCCAACTGAAGCGCGCCGTTGCCGATCTGGTAGTCTGCCGTTGGGCATGGGCAGCGAGGTCGACGACCGTTCGTAGGTACACGTGTGCATGGGATGGTTGGACAACTTGGATAGGAAACAGCAATATGCTATGGTCGACACTCTCTCTGAAGTCACAGAAGGTAATTTCTGGCAAGGGATAGGTCCTGACCGGTCAGCACAGCGCGACAACATTAGCACATTGATTGGGCGGACCGTAGTAGTCGTTTACCGTCACTGATGTGCACCCTCAGAGTGCGACTTCGCCTGTATGATAATCTGATAGCTGAGCGTTGAGAATGTTCAGGGGTTCGAGTGATAACGTTGACGTCGACTTGACGTATTTTTTAGGCAAGATATTCGTCGAAGTTGAGCGCGCTCGACTGCGTTTGAGGCTTGCACACATGAAGGAGGAAGATGGAGAACCGATTGAGGTATACCCCCAGGTCTATTCGTCATACCTATGAGTGCACCATGAGGCTACGGTACACGTTTCGAATTGTTAGGCCGCGAACATCATCCAAGATGAGCAGGTTGAGACATGTGGTGCGATGGAGAAAAACGAGAAGGCCGAATACATTCTGGAACAGGTGGGGAGCGATCTAAGAGCCTATTGCTTCATCTCATGCACTCGTCACTCAGATGCGTCTAGTGCTGCGAAAAGGCGACTACATACGTAGGATATGCGCACTGTGAATGTAGAGGAT